ATCGAAGTAAGCATTAAGGACAAGATCTATTAACAAAATATAATAACAAACGTTTTATTAATTATTCAATAGTTTGTATAGGAGTTATTGAAGTAAGCATCAAGGACAAGATCTATGAACAAAATGTAATAACAAGCGTTATTAATTATTCAATAGTTTATATAAGATCTATGAGCAAAATATTCTAATGAACGTTTTATCAATTTGTGTAGGAGTAATCGAAGTAAGATTTAAGGACAAGATCTATGAACAAAATATTCTAACGAACATTTTATTGATTATTCAATAGTCTGTATAGGAGTGATTGAAGTAAGCGTTAATGGCAAGATCTATGAATATACTAACAAGTGTTTCATCAATAGTTTGTATAAGAGTGATTGAAGTAAGCATTAAGGACAAGATCTATGAAGCTTGCGAAGCAAGTTTTACAAAAATGAACGTTTTGCAATTATTCAATAGTTATTTATTTATGTATATAAATTTCTTTTATTTTAACTTATATTTAATAACATCACTATGACAAATAATTAAATGAATAAAGTCGGAGATAAAACACCTTTTAATTTAATCATTATTGTTGCTTGTTTACTATTATAATTATTATTTATGTATATACTGTAGGTAAAGAAAAACTTTAATGTCTATTTATTTATTATATTACTTTTAAAATAAATGATTTTACTATAAAAGACATACCTAAGTGATCAAAAATCTACAAATATTCATCATAATGTAATATTTGGACATTTACTTCTACTTATACTTGCGATTGGACGCGTCAAACAAAATTTTACATATATGAATATAAAGGCAAAATTTGACTTTGAGAGTCAGATTATTTTCGGTTTTATTAACAACCTGCTTTAAAAATTTTCTTAAAGCAGATACATATGATAAAGAAGTTATATCTCAAATTTGGCGGTGGCTGCTACACAGCAAGGGTATTAAATGGGGATTAGAAGTCACTTGATTGTAAAATTTTACTATGTAAATTCGAATTTTACTATGATGCAGATCATCAAAAATTTACTATGTTTTACAACTCCCTATTGATCTGCGTGTGACTGATATAACTAATTAAATCATTCGGAATATTAATACAAATAAATATAGAAATAAATAGAAATTAAAAATAAATAATAAATAAAGTAATGTGTGATAAATAGCTAAAAATAAATAATATATAAATAGAATATAAAATAAATAAACGATATACTAATAATATAAATTACTGCGGAATTCCGGGGTTATTAATCAGCGAATTAATATTATTATTACTGGTTCAATGCTATCGTCATCTTCATTATTGTCAATAGGCACTTCTGGTTGTTTTTTATATACTTCAACAAGTCCTTCAATAAGTTTATCATCATCAAAAACTTCATATATTTTTTCTTCTTCTGGATTATTTAAAAACTCTTCAATTGGCATTCTATCAGATAAGTTAAGAGTTGTAAGGCATGTAAATGAAAAATAATTAATTAATGTAACACGATAATTTTGTTTCTTGTTGCACGTTGATCACGTGAAAGTCACGGGCGTGCATTTAAAGAGGATGGTTTTATATGAATGGGATTGGAAAAAGACCGTGCAGTGCATTTATGGAGGGATGCATTTATCTCTTAAGTCCCGAGGTTGGGAATGAGACATAGGGTGCACTTATGGAGGGTTGACTGTATTACTATTTGCTTATTTATATTTAAAGGAATTATCAATATAGGCCATAAGTAGTCATGAGTATATTCGTTGAATTCTTAGAAACTTTGAATTATAAATTGAATGTACCAATCATTATAAAAATTACTCAATATATCCAAAAGCCAGCGTATAGTAAAAGAGATTAGCTTGAGAGATACTTAGAGTAGAAATATTAAAATGTAATGTGCAAAAGGTATAAAAACGCTCTTAAGACTACCTTTGCTCTACATCCTTGTTTGGATTTAATAACTCATAATAATAATAAATAAAACAAAAGAATCTTTGATCTAAATCTTGTTAAGTTTCACTTAATAAAAAACTTGCAATTTATTAATTAAAAAATTATTTCATGCAATTTTAGTTAAGATAAAAAATATCAATTACAGTATATTATAGACAAAACTTATATTTTTTCCCATCAGATAAACTTTTCTTTTATTTCAGAGGTTTTTTGCCTCCACTCTTGCTACTCTTGCTCTACAGGTGCTGTGATGCTGGTAACAATGTGGGAAGTAGAAGTGGTTGTGGAGGATGCAGATTGTAAAAGGGATTGGCGAATTTTGGTTATTGTTTCAAATATCATATGTCTCTCTTCTGGTACTGCCAAATCTAGACCAGATTCTGTACCATTTTCTCCTGGCCATCTTAAAATCTTAATTGTTTGATTTTGTGGTAAGTCTCTCTTGAGTTCTTTCCAATACATTGTAGGAATTTCAGCCTTATAAAATATCACACGACACGGATTGCATATATAGTCTGATGAATAAGTGTTCCAGATCGATACAAAATTTCAGATCCACAGGCAAGTTTCTCAGCAAGTATTTGTGCTTCCCCAAAGTTGGATGCTAAAACATTTTTCAAATGTTTATCCTGTTAAAAGAATTTGAGTTGTCAAAATTTTTAGTTGATGAAATGTAGAATTGTCAAGTAATCAAAACATATGAACATTCATGACTATAATAGCAATTTCTTCCATATCCACTACAAAATCAGGATTTGTTGACACTCTCTTATCACTAATGGACAATTTATTGTTTTCTTTGATTTTAAATTTAAAGTATGTGATGAACTTAAGAATTAATTAGAGTACATAACAAGCAAAGACATTTATTATTATTTACCTAACACCAAATGGCCATCCATCGAATCCAAATGCGCGAGTGAGACGGTTTTAGATTCCTCCATACATATATCAAGACTAAAGCTCCGAAACAGGCTGGGCTAACCCGAAAGTTTTCGGATCGGGCCCAATTCGGGTTCGGGTTGTTGGCTGGGACCGAACCGAAAAACCTGAACCCGACCCGAAACCTGAAAACTTTTTGAACTGTACCAATTATACTTGAGATCAAAATTATTAAATTGCAATTAATAATCCTAAAATTTTGCATTGCACCACCTATCATAATTTTATACAAGATGCAATTCGTGATGCAAGTCTTAATTCATGGTGCAAACATGATTCATGACAATTTATTAGTCAACAAAAACTTTTTAGCTATGAAGCATTGATGCTGTATTAAAAATTAAAAAAATAAAAAGTTTTCATGCAATAAATAAAGAGCTTTATATGTGGTTAAAGTTTGAATTAATTCATACACACATCATGATTGTGTTTTGTGTAGTGATGGTGGCTGAAATTATTTTAACAAATCTGAAATAGTTTATCTATAGAAATTAGGAATATAGGCTCCTAAACTAGTGACGAAACTTAAAAAAATTACCTAAATTGTCAAACCTATGACCAAAGTTTTATGATAAATAAAACGGATTTATCGAAGTGCCGTCCAATCGTATTCCGGACATGTGATCTTTATAGTCACTTTCGTTTTGTATTTTTTATTAATAATTTATATTCGCATTTTTATTATTTATTTATATATTTATTAAAAAAGATTATGATTATCATAAAAACAATGTCATTTTTTAACCCAATTCGTTTTGTAATAATAAAACAAAGCAATTCTTTTTTTTTTTGTTCAATAAAACACTTTTGTGGTCGGAAATTAAACAGTAGAGTGTACATCCGGAAAATATAAAAAAATTTTACACGTGTCAATTGTAAGTTTAATAATAAAAAAGTGTAAAACTTACGTCGGCACTGTAAGATTTACACAATATTACGTCGGCATCGTAAGATTTATGCAAGTTTACGCTAAATTAATTTCCTGATGTAATTGACCGCTTGGTTTTTACCTGCAGTTTAGGTTCGCCAACTTCGCCGTAAAATTAGGCCTAAACTATGGCTAGTTCTGGCCATCATCCACTAGCCTTGTGTCTTTAATTATGTATTGTGTCACGGATTATACGAATTGCCTTGAGTTACGTCTTGAGTCACGAATTGCCTTGAGTTACGTCTTGCGTCACGGATTGAGTTCTACATCTTTTGCATCACGCATGACACAAATTGCAGCTTTTAAACCACTACAACTATTTCACCTTTTATATTTAATTAATTATTATTATCTGAATTTATGTAAATCACAAAATTTTCTTATTAACCTGATATCAACCCGAACTCGACCCGTTAGTAGCTTTAATCAAGACCTGAATTAATTTCAACATTGTTAAGAGTCTTAAGAACTGCATTACATATATGTCTGAAGTATTAAGCTTGTGAACATCAAATTTTTTCTTTTCAAGAATATCATGACTGATTTTTGGAAGAAGGTATTGTCCCGGAAGGTTTGTGGCTAGGCAGTATATAAATTATTAGCATAGTTTTGCTGAGAATATATCATAATTCTTACCTTCAACATCAGATATGATGTTATTCTCATTCAAAGTTGACTCGAAGGTCGCATTAAGTGCCTTCAATATCTTCTTCTGTGAATTTATATGCCTGAGAAGGGACAACTTTTAAGTTATATTCAGAATGATAACTGATTCTAAGGTTCCTAGTAGATCTTGTAAGATCCAAGTCTTGGCTGGCAATATGTTCTGAATGTTGTATAGATACAGAAGAACTTTGACTTGTCTTTTGTTTTTTTGGATCTTTTTTTGTGGTCTTTTTTGGGTCAGTTTTTTGTTTCTGTTGCTGTTTTTTTTGAAGTCATCTGTGACAAAAAGTACAGAAATATATAGTGTGGATCATATATACTCAAAAGTTAAAATTTTTGAAATATTATGTGATCCAAACATTGGATTTTAAAAAACCCACCACCATTCAATTCAGCTTTAAAAAGGGAGTCTATTAATTTTAAAAAAAAATTTGTCTCAAATTTTCTTGGTAATGATTTCTTTTAATGCAGTGTTGTGCCATTTATGGTTCCAATAAAATTTCATTGGAACATTTAAACAAATTCCAATTGGAATTGGAATGTTCCAAATGTGGTTCCAATGGAGTTAACCAATGAAATTCAATTACAGTGACACCCACACAATTTTTATTGGTCAATATCAATTGAAGGTCTACATTGGAACATTCCAATAGTGTTACAATGTTCCAATTGCACAACACTGTTTTAATGTAATACAATCGGGGAGATTTCATTAAATGGTAGCTTGTAATGCTCCTGATGGTCACTCTGATATAGTTTTTATTTGCAGTGAATGTAAAAAAGATTACAATAATAATGCTCTTCCATGATGTGAGAATGTGGTAGGTTAAAAAGGAATGGAACAGATGTTTTTGTAGTCATTTAAAAGTTAAATCAACTAAATCACTTTCTGACAAAGAACTACTTTCACAAGTTTCCATTTTTGCCTAGAAAATAAAACTAGAGAATTAGAAAAAGAGTTATAAATTACCAAAGAATTAAAAATCGAAAGTAAAACTCCATACAAGCCAAGCCAAATTTATGCTTAGCTCGAGCTCGAGTATGTGAGTTCAAGCCAGCTCGCATATAAAAAAGTGCTAGTTCAAACTTGGCTCAAGCTCAAAAACTCAAGTCAAGCCAATCCCAAGCTGAGCTCGAGCCAACTCGAAATTTAATATTATTTTTTTATAAAATCATGATTTTGCAAAACACTGAAAAAATTGAAGCAATAATAAACTATAATAATTTGTATAAGTTTAGAACATTCGAATCATCATAAATAATTTTATGACAGGCTAAAAAATTCTGAAAAATTAAAATGAGAACAATGCTTTTTAGGTTCTGGAATATATGCACAAGAAATTGCATTATACTAAAATTACTAATCACAGTTTAATGAATTTTATGTTTTAAAATTCATAGTAATGCAAATTTAATTATAATTTGTTGGAACAACTGTATAAAATTTCACAATGTTTGCTCAAATATTTGTAGAGGATTAAAATGAAATGCAACCTGTTTAAAAAATCTTTATTATCATTATTCAAATTGTTGAATCATTTGTTTTATTCATTTATTCAAATTGTTTGAATTATTTGTTTTATTCGCTTTATTCCTTAAGTTGAGCAACCTTGAGTTAAAACTTAAATTTTCAAGTTCAAGCTGATTTCAAGAAAATAGGCTTTTAAATTGTTTTTTTTAGGTAATATGCATAAATAAAATTAATCATTTGTTACTTAAAAAAATTTTTATGTGGTGTCAGACTCGAGCCTATTATTTCTTGGCTTGAGCTTGACTTGAACTTGAAATTTTGAGCTTCGGCTCAGCTTGTTTGGAGCTTTAATTGAAAGAGAAGTAGCCAAGTTTCAGAAAAATCAGAAGAGTGAAAAAAAAGCAAAAACAGGATTTATTAGATAAGATAAAAAGTTTAGAAGAAAAAAAAAAGATCAACAGAATGGTCAATTAACTGCTCAAATTGAAGTCAAAGAAAAGATCTTGATTGAAAATAAAAAGTAATCGAGGAAATTCATTCAATTATCAAAGAAAATGGTGCTTATTTTCCTTTTAAAGATTTCTGCTTTTTATTAGGTAATAATACATTTCTTTTTCCAACACTTATTATTTTTCTTTCTTCTTGGTAAATCTCATAGGCAATCCTTTCTTTTCTTAGATAAGCTTCAAGTATCTGAGCATCATTTATTTGAAAATATAAGGAGCAATTTTTTCACCTTGTTCTTTCTTTTTGTGATCATTTATGAGTGGGGTTCGTTGATAATCATTGCTCAAAGAATTTATAAAATCATCGTCCTTGTGTAACCATTGCAGTTCTGAGCTTTCAAATTTAAAAAAATCTATGAAAAAAAATTAGACAAATTTTTTTTACATGAATCGACTACCTTTCCTTTTTGAATAACATGTGGATCACATAATATTTCACATTTTTTAACTTTCGAGTATAAGTTCGGTTTTATTAAATTACATTAAGATATTAATTTATTGTTAACCAATTTTGCATCGTTATAAAGCGAAAATCGGTTTATAGTGGTTCGGCTTATCGAGGGATGACTGTGTATAGCTTTTGGGGCCCTAAAAAAGATATAATTGTTATTATAAAGTAGCATGTCTTCAGGAAAAGTTAAAGAAATAATATTTTTGGGTACGGGATCTTCCTCGACTGCTCCAGATATTGTTTGTTTGACGGAACCAGAAATTAAATGTACAACTTGTTTATCAACTCTTAAGCCAGAAGGTGCGATTAACATTAGAAAAAACACATGTTTATTGATTAGATTTCATCATGGGGACGGAGGAATTAGGTATTATTTTTTTTTTAGATATTATATATATATATATATATATATTATATTCACATATCAGTACATTATTTATAGAAATATTATAATAGATTGTGGCAAAACATTTTATGGTAAAATTTAACAAAAAAAAGTTATGATTTAATATTAATTAATTAATTACCATCTTTTTATTTATAAATTTGTTTTTCTCTTTCCCTTTTCTCAGAGTCAGCAATAAAATTTTGGCCAATTTTCAAACTACGTAGAATAGATGCAGTAGTATTAACACATCCACATGCAGATGCTATTAATGGATTGGATGATTTACGTTCTTGGACACTAAACAAAGCAATACAAGAATATATTCCTATCTATCTAACAGAAAATACACTTGAAAACATCAAAAGCTCTTTCCCATATCTTGTTGATAAAAAAAAATCATCTGGTAAAAAAATTTATAATTATAATAGTTTTGTACATTGGCTTTACTAGTAATGTGTATGATAATGCTAATTAATTAGGTGGGGGTGATTTACCATCTTTTCAATGGAACATAATTGATTCACATACAAATTTTACAGTTGAAGGGTTGGAATTTACACCACTTCAAGGTATTTAATAATAATCAGTTGAT